CATGAAAATTGTAAAATATAAAACTTTCTGCTGTTGGGCTCTGTCAGGCACGCGCAATGATGACGCAGTGAATGGTGACAATTCTCTCTGACCAATCAGCAGTCTGCTGCGTTTTTCATGTCACATTTTAGTATTGCCTCAGCTCGCTTGAACCTCGATTGAGGTGATACGAAAAAAAGTACCTGGTAGCAGGTACAGGTACAACTTTTCCACAATGGAAAACCAAAAAAAGGCCAGCCGAGTCGAGCTGGTACCGTGCAGTGGAAAAGGGGCTTTAGTAGTTTAAGCTGTCATTGACTGCATTGCACATTACATGGTTGTGCTCTGTAAGTGAAAAACAGGTTACAGGTTTATTGTTGATGATGTAATGTTACAGTTTTATTTAACATTAGTTAACGTTACACTGTTTCAAGAATCTGCGGGGTGTGTTGACTTACAGTAGGCTAGTTAATAAGCTGTCATTAATTGCATTGCACATTACATGGTTGTGCTCTGTAAGTGAAAAACAGGTTACAGTTACAGAATCCCTTATAGCTATGCAGTTTTATAAGCAGCCTGGTTTGAACGCAGCACGAGTGACTTGAGACTTGACTTGGACTCTAGCTCAAAGACTTGTGAGCATCTCTGTGTAATGTGAGAGGAATTTCCTCATCGTGACAAACCCACAGAGAACCCATCTCTGCAGTTCCCCTCAGAGTGTTTCAGTGTCTTTTAGCCCATTGCTTTGTTTTTTTCAGGCCCTTGTAAACTTCACTCTCACCACTCAGTGTTTGGCCACAGCAGGCAGCTGTATACTATCTGCCTAGCACCAAAGATAAAAACAGATAAAGTTATCTGTGAAGATTCTCAGTCATCCAGGTCATAGTTATCCAACGAAGGTTAAAGTCAAGGGCAACTGGACTTGGTTGAAGATACTGGAAGACGGTTCATCCCTCATCCAACTCCCTTCCAACCTCACCATCCAAGAAAGGAAGGCTGTGACATCTCTGAGCAAGGATCAAAACATCACTATCCTACCTGCTGACAAAGGAAGATGCACGGTAGTACTTAACACAGCTGACTACCAGAACAAGGTCAACACACTACAAATGGACACAAACACATATGAGACACTGAGACGAGACCCAACCAGCGGATACAAGAAAAAGGCCATAGAATGTCTACAACAGTTACAGAAGGACAACACCATCACCCGTGAACAATATTACCGTTTGTATCCTGGGGAAGCCATTCCATGCATTTATGGACTACCCAAGCCACTGGTACAGATATGTGGACGACACCTGGGTCAAAATTAAAAGCCAGGAAGTGCAAAGCCTTCACAGAACACATCAACTCTGTGGACAGTAACACACATGAGAAGATGTTCACAACAACAGTTTGGCCTTCCTGGACTGCGCTGTACACATTGAAGAGGACAGCAAATTGGTGTTTTGCAGAAAACCCACACACATAGACCAATACCTACTCTTCGATTCCCACAACCCACTGGAGCATAAGCTACATGAGAACACTGCACCACAGAAAGGAAAACATACCAAGCGCCCAAGCCAGAGAGAAGGAACAGAACCACCTGAAGGGGGCACTTACAGCCTCTGGATACCCTAAATGGACCTTTGTGAAAACAGCCACAAGATCCAAGAAGAACAAAACTACAGGGGAGGAGGAAAAGAAGGTCAAACGCAACAACAACATCCTTAGGAGTTGGTGGAGACCAAAACGGAGGTAAAAGGACTGAATGCTAATGTTGCTATGTCTGCTGGATGTGTACACAGTGTAAACACTTGCTAACACTTTGCCATACCAAATTTATGAGGTGTAATGTGTATAGTGTGTTTACATACTGCTGTGCTGTCCCCATGAAGCTTTAAATTGTGTAATCCAGCACAGTAAGGTTAGTCACATTTACATTATTATTATGAGGTAATGCAGTGTAGACTTTAACTGCATTACCCAGACTTTGGCTCTCTAAACAGGAAATGCCATTAAAAACAATTACCCTCTAAAGTAAAAGTACATTGGATTACAGAACCTGTGGTTGTTGTTGTCTTTATTATTGTATATTGTTATTAGTCTGTTGTATATAGATGATAATTCAATCAGTGTTAGGGTGACTGCTTACATTTATATACTTTCTTATGTCCATTATTATTGTTTTTGTTTGCTTGCTTGGGAAATTCGCATCTCAACCTGACCTAACGTTTTTTGGTCAACCCGTTGCTTTAAATAGATGTTCAATGATTGTTTTTGATCTCTTTGCGTATGTCTGTGCCTCCAAACTCGAGTCAGTCTCAAATTGTCCGCCTCTGGTCCTATCACACGTCCTGATCGTAGCTCGGCTTGAGTTACACCTCCAAGATGCTCCACATCTGACACTCTTAATGTTTCTCATTGGGCTCTTTGTTTACCCAGATCCCTAATACAGACAGAAACAAACTTCCAAACTGTGACACAGATTTCAAGTCTAACAAATGTTTTTGCCTGGACTTTGCTAAATTATATGCATCTTATTGCTCATTCACCAACCAAAACTGCCAGCAGACAGCCCTTAAGAAAAACAAGGGATTTAGTAATCCTGATCAGCTGAGCCAGCAGCTGAGTTTGTCACAGCACAGTGTTTTTGTGTTCTTGAATCCTCTAAAGGAGGCCTACATACTTCCTCTGTCAGAGTGAGGAGGGGTGAAAATGACTTGTACAGATAAAACCTCAGATAGGCTGTTTTTCACATGAGGCAGCAAGTATAGTATCCTCTTTTTCACCAGTGTGTGTGTGTGTGTGTGTGTGTGTGGCCATTTCTCATATTCATTTCCCTCATCCCCCCTCCGTTCAGCCCCTCCCAGACTGTCTGTACGAAGCTGTTTTTATGGAAGTCTGGCTGAATCCAGTTCATGCTGCCTTAAGACATAAACTCCTCATCTTACTCTCTCCCTCTCATTCTCCCACTCCTCCCTCCTCCTCATAGAATCTCTCGTTCCCCTCTTTCTGCTCGTATGGTTTATTCTTCTTCTTTTTCCTTGTTGTACTGCTCTTTATTCCTTTATTTCAACCCCTGTTTGTCCCCTGTCTTCTTTCTGCTTCCTCTCATTTCTCAACCCTCAGTGTTTTTACACCCTTCTTCTTCTCTCCCATCAGAGGGAAAGACAGAGGGAATAACAGAAGAGAAGAAAGGCTTCTTCTCTTCTGTTATTCCCTCTGTCTTTTGTCACCAACTTTTGGTTGCTTGCTTGAGGATTTGTCTCAACAAACAAAAAATAGAGAAAGAAACAGAGAGGAAACAGAAACTGGTTAGAAATGTAAATGTCCAGACATGCGTGTCCATGTATTAAGGCTGGATCACTAATTGGGCAGAGCAGGCAACTGCCCCGGTGCTCCAGATGCCTCTAATCTTGAGGCCCTGTCTCATAGATGGACTCTAATTTCAATACCTTTAATATTTCAGTTGATACTATGCTTACATGGTGCACATTTGTCTTCATTTTTCCTGAAAAATATTCGGGGGGCAGTGCACTGTAATGGCTTACTGTGAGACCAGGACAGAAGTAAAAAAGTACGAAAAAGTAAGGAAGAAATAACAAATATTACTACAGATCTGTCAGAGTCTCATCTCATTGCTTGTCTTGCACAGAGTTACGCCTCCACACTGCTCCACAGCTGAAAGTTAATGCTTGACATCCGGCTCTTTGTTTACCCAGATCCCTGATATCACTGTTGACTTTCAGAGTCAACATTCCCATAATGGCAGGGTCCCACTGAGACATCAGATTGCTACTAAGTGTTAGGTAAACAATTCCTTCAAAAGATTATGCTTGAAAAAAAGACTATCTGCATATTCAGTTTAGTTAATAAGAAAAGATATAGGCAAAAAGAAACTTCCAAACTGGGACACAGATTTAAAGTGTAACAAAGCAAAGTTTTTGGCCTAGACTTCCCTAAATGCTGTCAATATCCGAAACCACTAACAGACAAGGGATGTTGTCTCAACTGTGTGAGTGAGGAAACTCCTTCAGCTGAGTAAGATGGTGAGATGTGGAAAAAGCTGATAAGACCTTGTTTTGAGATTGTCTTTGGTCAAAAATTGACTTGACCATACAGGCGTATTTCTCAGTATAGGTTGAGGTTGAGAAGAACTGTTGGTGTTGTGACTGCCTGTATTTGTATGTTTTTGAGTATGTTGATGTGTGTGTGTACTACATGATCTATTGCTCTTGCTACGGTGTGGAATCTAACACCTTTCTTCTTTGCAGACGTTTCCCACGGTGACGCCTCGCTCTCTCACTCAGCCCTCTTGGTGTGTGTGTTTTTGTGTATCTGTGTGATGTATCTGCCTTTGTAACGGACGTAGCTGCTGAAGTGCCCTGATCAGCTCCCAGATGTGTGACTGTGCGAATGTGCGGCAGAGCGCCACTGAAGATGAAATGTTAAAGAACATGTTTGCATGCCTGAGTGCCTGTTTATGAAATAAAATATTTTAATTTTATTTTAATTTAATAATTTTAATTGTTTTTCAGGTTTGGTTTTGTTTGATGGCTGAATGATGATTGTGTGCTCGGGGCAATTGTAAAGGACAAGAGTACCTGATTGGATATTTGTGGATGTAGCACAATTTTTGGTGACAAGACATGCCATGATGTAGAAAAATGTTTATCCGTCACCATCATAAAATCTGGAATATAAAGACTTTGTGTATTGATTGATTGTAACCTTGGTGGCCACCGACACCCGACATGTTCTGCGCTCAGTGATTCAGGAGGATCATCTGATCGTGTGGCGGTACAGCTATAGATTTTGCGAGGTTATTCAGTAAAGGACAATAAATCTATGAGTGTGTGTGGTCGGTTTTCAACCTCAAGGCGTCACTTTTTCACAGGCTGATTGGACTTTTAAAATATTTATGCTGCATGTGCGTGCAGCCCAGCCTATTAATAGTCTCAGCTAAACATAACACCATTTGTTTTACCACTGCCATCTCACACAGCTTTATGTCTCAACTGCAAACACTCATAGACATGAATTCATACACAGCTTCACTGACAAAGATGCATGCTGCTGCAGTCTGATCATGCAGACGTATTGATATTCTGGATGAGTGTGCAGGACCGCACACGCCCGATAAACTGCGTTCTCTCTCTGTGCCATCCACATTTGTCTGGGGAGATTTATTAATTAGAAACACTAGTAAGCAAACATGAATGCAAAATACATTCAAGCTGTTATCAATCTGCAAAACTGCAGGAACAGATTTATAAATGTGTAAAGCCTGATTTTGTTTGTTCAGTTAAAAGCTGCTCTGACTACTTTCTTCAGCAATTTTGATACAGTGGGCTCTGAGCAGAATAACACTTTACACCAATATGCTTCAAAAGAGTGCACTCACATACTGTTGTTATCAATCAGTCAGTGTTCACTTATTTTGCCCCCAGAGGGCCGTTGGTTGCACAGCAACGAAACGTGATTTTAGCAAAGTGCTTATAAAACATTCAAAGCAAGGAGAACAAACTACAGAGGTAAAAAGACTGATTAGTCAGTCTATAACAGACACATAAACATACCATAATATCATATAAACATAAAAATTTATAGATTGTTGGACCAGCCCATATCCAATTGAGTTTACACGGCGTAGGGATACAACCTGCCAAGAAAGAGAAGAGAAGAAGTCTTTCTCAAATGTAGTGACACAATTTTTGGACTCAGGAGATACAAAATTAAATGTGAAACCAACCCGTGGAAAACCTGCCTGAATTCTACATCCACGAATTAGTTTTCCAAAAGATAAATATTTTAAAGGGACGCTGGACAGTCAGACCTGATCGTAATACACTAGAGGATAATTAGACCCAATCCAAATGTGATTGACCTGAACAGACCCAGAAAGAGAAATTTATGGCATTAATGAGCTTCCATACTGCATCTACAGTTCTGTATAGATACCTAACTCTGCAGGGCACAGTGATGGTACAGTAAACGAAGACTACCGCCTCAGACATGACGAGCCCTGACTCTTATAAAATACGGCTTTGACAGATGTTGAGTCGATTTATGAAAGTACCAACCAAAGCGAAATGTGATGTCTGGTGTTCAGCAGATGTGATACTATCATGTGCGCTCAGTCCTACTTCCCTCTTTACCCCCCCCCCCCTTTACTGCAAGTACTCACCCAAACACGCACACAGACTCACATCCACATTGCATTACTGGAAATCATTCTTCATGCTCTTAAAATTATTATATATCTATATATAATATATAATTTTGTGAAACATTATATACTATATAGAACTTGATAAGTCAGCTTATTTGAGCCACTTTGGGTATAAAAAATAAACAGATGAACCCAAACATTTGATTTAATGTAAGTTAAGGTTACTCATTCTGTTATTACTCTGTTATTTATACTGTTAAATATTGTATTGTACCTGGTAACACATATTTATGGTTTAAGGAGACTACAAAAGTTACATCTGCAACTAATGTTAATCCAAAATCTTATATTATATAGCCCATGCATTATTAGACAAAAAAAGCTAGATTTAAATGTCTAATTAAAATGTTGATTTATTAAAACATTGTGCGCATAATGAGCATTGTGTTGCAGCATCAGAATGTTAAACCTACAGTATCTCACAAAAGTGAGTACACCCCTCACATTTTTGTAAATATTTTAATATCTTTTCATGTGACAACACTGAAGAAATGACACTTTGCTACAATGTAAAGTAGTGAGTTACAGCTTGTATAACAGTGTAAATTACCTTTCCCCTTGAAATAACACATCACACAGCCATTAATGTCTAAACCACTGGCAACAAAAGTGAGTTGCCAGCGGTTTAGACTGTTGCTCCCCAGTGCCGTCATGATAACGACCCCAAACACACCTCCAAGACACAAGACCACTGCCTTTTTAAAGAAGCTGAGGGTAAAGGTGATGACTGGCCAAGCATGTCTCCAGACCTAAACCCTATAGAGCATCTGTGGGGCATCCTCAAACAGAAGGTGGAGGAGCGCAAGGTCTCCGACATCCACCAGCTCCGTGATGTCGTCATGGAGGAGTGGAAGAGGACTCCAGTGGCAACCTGTGAGGCTCTAGTGAACTCCCAGCCCAAGATGGTTAAGGCAGTGCTGGAAAATAATGGTGGCCACACAAAATATTGACACTTTGGGCCCAATTTGGACATTTTCACTTAGGAGTGTACTACTTACAATGACGTCATGGGTGTACTCAGTTTTGAGAGATTCTGTACCAAGAAAGATGAAAAGTAAAGTCTTATGGTATTTGCACTTTATTTGTTCCGTATTTGTTTTGTTAATACTTCTGTACTCCAGTTTATTATTCTATTCTTCCATAATGCTGGAGGACTTGAAAGAGACACATTTATAATAATTGTCAGAATTGAAAGGCACCATCAATTATTATTTTTATTGCATTTGTGTGGTGAATGCCCAGATTTTGTCCCAGTGTCGCCCATCTAATAAGATTTCTGCTTTTAGATGTTTTATTACAGAAAGTGTATGAAACCATGACCACAATAGTCACACATTCTGTCATTGTGGTGTTTATGGATGGAATTATAGTGAGAACCAGTGAGCTAGCTGATCTACCTGATACAGTGAATGGAAGTGAAACAATATTAGTTATTACATTAGTTATCAAAAGGAGATCACATAGAATACCCTACATGTGTGTGATTTAGTTAAAGAGCGACTTCAGAGATGCAGTTGTTTGGGGGAACTGTTTTTCCCACTTTATCAGAAGTCAGAAACTAATAAAGGCATTAGGACAGACCTTTTTTATTGTATTTGGTGTAATGTGAAGTTACGTCAAACAGCAATATTAGGTTACCTTGGCCCAATTAGTGTTTAGGGGTCTAGGATCTAGGACATGAGTGAAACTAAGCAAAGTAAGTGGGGGTGAGGCCATTTCCCTAGCTTTAGCTGAGTGGAGGTCCTCAGTCTTTGAAAAACCCCTGATGTAGGTGAAGGATGTGATTACCTTTTCCTTTAATGGTTAAGCTTGATGGGAGTTGGTAGACGCTGCCCTCACAGATTTATATTAGTGCGCATCCTACCGGCCGCGCTGTATCATTGCACCCTCCACTCACTTGTAGTGTAGTGACCTCCAGCCGCCTGCAGAGGGCGGTGTAACACAGCTCTGCAGCGCTGATTGGGAAAAGAGCCACTTCAACAGTTAGTAACGGTAAGTGACCTTTTTATTCAGTTTTATACTCTTAGGAGACAGATATATATTTATAATAAAGTGTGAGGTTTCTAATTTGCAGCGTATTTTAGTCGCCGCCAGTTAAACAGGCTTTGTAGAGTTTAAGTCAGCCTGGCGCTGCTAATTATCTATGCTAATTAAACTATTAAATGCGGCGAAGGAGCTCGTTAAAAAGAGTGAAAGCTTTGTTGTTCCTTGTCTGCGGTGGCTCCACTTGGTTGTTAAGCGTTGTGAAACATTTCCAAATGATGACATTAGCCTGGAATACAATCAGAAAGCATTTCCCTTTCAGTTAAGTTACCCTGCAAAGGCTATTTCAGTTTTATCAGTTAACTAGCAGTCACTAAAAGCTAGAAACTGCTTCTCCTTAAAGTTATGTGGAAAACTGACAAACTGGCAGTTTTTCTTACCGTTTCCAAAGTAAAACAGGAACATTATTAACTAAATATATGTATAAAAAACATAGCCTGCTCTGAACAAAAATGTTGGACATTAGTAGGCCTATTAATAATACCCTTAAAGTAGACGTGTTGTATGTGTAGGCATGATACCAGGTAACAAACTCAAACAACAGTACTCTTCTTTTCACTTACACTGATGTAGAAAGGAAGACGGTGAACAGACCTTCACCAGGGCAAATGTTTAGTGAAAGGAGAACTCAAAACATCAAAACATGTAAGTTAGTGAGTTCACCTGTGCATATTGTTGCAAGTGCTCTTGGGAAATGTAGTCCACAAACGTTCGATCCCATGATCCATATACATAGAAAGCTCCACAGATGTGACAAAAAATAAGGAGCCCAAAACCCAAATATATTCAATTTAAAAGGTAGAAAAGAAGCAGATCCTCACATTTGAGAAGCTGAAAACAGACAATGTGTTGTTGCATTTGATACACGTCCTACAGAACATGTTCTGTTCACAGTAGCTACCCCCCAACCCTGTTTCAGTTATATGATCCCCATATTTAAAAATACTAACCTCAGCCTTTAATATTAATATTATTACCTGTGTGTGTGTGTGTGTGTGTGTGTGTGTGTGTGTGTGTAAATTTGTGTTTTCTTTTTTGTTGTTGTTCACTGACTTGTAAAGTGAAAGTTGTAAACTAACTTATTGTTTCCGCACTAATCAGAAGCAGTAAAAGAAAACTGAAATATTGTTGTTGAACTCGTCAAACAAACGCATCAATAAAACTCAACATAATACTCATTTACTTTAAATCCACTGGTTGCAGAGAGCCTAATGTGTGAATCTGGTTTAAAATCACAGAGAAAAGTATTTAACCTGACTTTAGATCAAACGGAGCAGTGAAGGAATGTTTTGGAAAGGCCGTCCTCCCGCTGTGCTTCAGCCTTTAGACCAGAATTGCTGAGAAATCAGAGGAATGTGTTGTCATCTGTAGCTACTGTATATGCTCCAGACCGCTGTCTACAGACTACAGACAGGTGAGGAGAGGGGAAATAAAAAGGTATTTATTTGACATTGTACTATCCTTGACCTTTGAGTATTTTGTGTTTTTACAGAGGAAGAAGAAAGAGAAGAAGAGTGTGTCAGAAGGCAGAAGTAAGTGTCTTAACAGCTCAGGTTCAGTGTCAGACCTCCTTGTGTTAAATTAACTGTTGTTTACAGTGTTATTCCTTTGTTGTTGTTGTTGTTTGTTTGTTCTACACATGTTTTACTGCTATGAAGTGGTATTTTCCAAGTAAATGCACCAACGTGAGCTTCAGTACTAAACTAAAACAGTGCTTTGTTCGCCAGCTGTTTTCGGGCCTCTGCAGAGTGCTATCAGAGCCGGTATAATAATGGATACAGATGTAATGCAACATCAGCAACATGTTTTAATCGTGATGGACTAGTATTTTATCTTGACATTGGCCAGATAATATTTCTGTCTAAGTTTGTGTGTGCGTGTATGTGTGTGACCAAGCATCCCCAGAGCGCTAACCACAGGAACAAAACTATTCTCATATTCAGTGACTTGTACTGTTATGTCCTGTTTCTTTTTTGTCTTCTTTGTTCTGAGCGTCTTTGCGTGGACTCTGTAAACGTAGCATGTGGAACTTTGCACACACCGGTTATCCTGTGTTTATGTGCTTCCCCACAGATCCTTAAAAAGTCTTCATTTTAGTTTTCCAAAAAAAAAAAGAGCCTTAAATTGTCTGGAATTTGGGAAAGGCGGACATTAAATTTGATCTACAGCAGACTGTCTGCTTATTTGTTCTGTCTTTTAGTATTTTGTTTATTTTTATATCTCTCAACAATGACTATTTCCACTGCTTTATTTGGATTTTAAATGGGTTAGACTCTCCTAAATAGGTGGCTGCACGCCTTGTTTTGCCTAACTGCACATTTTATCCCTGAGGAGGAAAGAGTTTCTGTTTTATGACTGGAGAGTTGAAGGAAAGGACGGAAGAAGAGTGAATTGTATTTATCATCTGTACGTGGTATTAAAAACGTCATAATTAAACCTGCTCTCAGATATCTTCTCAGAAGCTTTGTACAGTACACGTAGGACATACGCCCTCACATATTTTGCTCAAATATTGAGTCAGACCACCGCACAACCCCCCATCAACACATTCACAAGCCTCCTCTCAGCCCACCACCCCCGTCTCCCTTGGGACTCCTACGAAAGTCTGGTGAGGGGTCTCCACTGCCAAAAAGCAGGAAGTCACAGCTGTGCTTATCCCCCTTTCGGCATGTGTGAGAGAGAGGGAGTGTGTGTTGGTGTCTCTATCTACATCTGTGTGTAGATCTGGGTGTGTGTGTGTGTTTGAGTCTCTATATGTCTGTGTCTCAGTCACTTTATCTGGCCAGTATGACGCTACTTTCTATTCCCACCTCCTTGGTGCAGAAGTTTCCAGTGCCGTTAAATGAAAGCCTGGCTTATACAGCCTAATAAACACTCTGTGTGCCTGAGCTGTGTGTCATTGTGGCTAATAGTGCAAGACTGACTGCTCTGCTGAAAACACACACACACACCCTCTGTCAACTTTCTGTCACCTCCTCTTGCTTCTTCATTTCATCACTTTCTCATTCGTATTGCCCTTTTCTTATCTGTTTGGTTTGTTTCTCTCTATATTGCCAAAAGTATGTAGACACCCCTGCTCACAAGCGTTTGTGTTGTTTGGGTCTGGGGCTGTAATTTTGTGGTTTGGGCCAGACCTCTTAGATGTGATTAGAGCTGTAACAAGTTAATCGTTTAGTCAATTGTCAGAAAATTAATTGATTCATCATTTAATTCATTTTTCTTTTAAAAGATATTTTTTAGCCTTTATTTTGAAAGGACAGTGGATAGAGTGAGGAAGGAGGGAGAGAGGAAGGGGCCAACAGGTCGGATTCGAACCTGGGCCGCTGCACATGGGTCGCACTAACCGCACCCCGCATTTAATTCATTTTTCAAGCAAAAACGTCTAATTCTTTAGGTTCCAGCTACTCATTTGGGAGGATTTGCTGTTTTTTTCTGTCTTATGTGATTGTACATTGAATTTCTTTGAGGTTTTGACTGTTTAGTGGACAAAACAAGAGATTTGGAGACACCAAATCTGGGCCGTGAGATATTTTTCATATACCCAAATGCTTGATTGAGAAAATAATTGGGAGACTAATCAATAATGAAAGGAATCCTTAGTTGCAGCCCTAGTTAAAGGGATCAAGGGACATTTTTATGCTACAGCGGAGAGGGAATTTTTAGACAACAGTATTCTTCAAACTTTGTGGCAGCTTTCCTGTTTCAGCATGACATGTCCCCCGTGCGCAAAGCAATGTTTATAAAGAAAGGATTGTGAGTTTAGTGTGGAAGAATACGACTGGCCTGCACAGAGCGCTAACCTCAGCCCCAGACAACACCTTTCAGATGAACCTGGACGCTGACTGCGAGTCTTACCTCAGCGCCCGACCTCAATGATGCTCTTGTGGCTCAATGGGAGCAGAATGATGGAGGCTGTTGTAGCAGCAGATTAATGCTCATGCTTTCTCCCATCATATACCGTTTGGCTGTCCTCATACTTTTGGCCACAAAGTATATTTCTCACCTTCTTTCTCTCATTTTCTACTTTACTATATTCAGTTCCTTGTCCTGTTCTGTCTCCATATGCCCTGACTCTTTCTTCTTCATGAGCCTCTGCAGCTCCTTGTGAAGCCAGCTCTTTGTTGTAAATTTCAGGCCTTTAGTTTAATAGGCGCAGTGTGCCTCTGTAACACCGACTGCGTTTGTTTTGGTTACAGATAAAATCACTGAAGGAAAACACGACAGCAGAGGGAGAGAGCCGGAGAAAGAGGGAGAGGCTGTAAGAAACCGAAGAGATGTAGAAAAACCATGCAGTGAGAGAGTGCGTATGAATCCCTGTGGTGCAGGAGGAAATAGACAAATCCAAAGAGTGAAAAAGGCAGTTCTTTCCTCCTCCTTTTTGATTTCTTGAACAAGATACACAGAGAGAAAAAGAGGGGAGGAAGGAGAGGAAATGATAGCTACTGAAAGAGTGATGATTTGACAAAGCACGTATCCAGAGCAGACTTAACTGCTTCTAACTCTGAATCACAGATTGAGATTTCAGTCCTTCCTCCTGCCAAACTCTGCATCTGTCTGATATTACTTCTTAAATCTTGTCTGAGATTTTTATCTGACTTTTTTTTTTTTTTTTAAGATTTTTATCTTTTTCTCCTCTCCTCCCTTCATCCCAACCTTTCATTCTCACTTTGTTTGATCTAATGCTGATAAGTACGGAGTTGATCTCAGTGCCTGTTGCTGATGGGATTTTTTTTATGGAGAGGGGGTTGACAAGTTGACAGGCAAGGCACTGCATTGACATCGAGCCTCACTCCACTGTCAGGACAAGAGAGATAGACAGAGAGGGGGGGTGGGTGTAGGGGAGAGGGTGAGAGACACAGAAAGAGATAGGGAGAGAGGGGGAGGTGAGAGAAAAGGAGGAGGAGAGATGAAGGAGGAAAAAAATGACTTCACGGCCACGACTGGACAGCCCCCTTTTTTCCCTTCAGCCTCTCTCTGTCTCTCAACTTTTTGCCGCCGCCTCCTCCTCCTCCTCCTCTGTGTGTGTTTTTTTAAATGATTTGGGGAGAAAAGGGGAACAAGCATTCGGAGCTTGGCTGACGGTGCAGGCAGGAGCGTCACATAGGCAAACAGGAGCCTGAGGGGCAGCGCACTGGGACAGAAGAGGACTGAAGGCTTGGATCTGATGCACCAACTAAAAGATTGACTGACTGACAGACAGAAGAGGCAGGAAGCAGGAGAGAGAAAGGACCTGAAGATTTGTACAGACTCTTAACAAGCTTTAAACAATACATTTACACGTACAGACTGTATAAAAAGCAAGGGAAAACCCAGATAGACTGATTTATTTTTGTAGAAAGAAAAGACAGATACATTGTGAGCAAGCCTAAACATTTTTCCAGTCAGGACCGGAGTTTTCTTCCACTGGAGACAGAGAGAGCGAGAGAGAGAGGCTGGTGGACAGAGCTACACTTTGAACGAGAAGAGAAGAATACTCCTCTCCATGCAGCAATGCTTTTGAGGAACTCTGCAGAGAACTGCTGCTGTCTGCTATGTTCCTGGATGCTGACGCAGGCTTAGGACACATTTATCTTCACTGAATTCCTCTTGAGGATCCACTTTGTCTTTTTTTGTGTCTCTACAAAGTCCTTCTTCAGCACAGGTGGTATGCTGACTGACGCTATGTTTTCTCAAAGGTACTCTTTAACACCATCATGGACTTCCTGCCTTTTAGTCTTGTGCATCCTGGATGTATGGACCATAGCCTGGCCGGCTGGCCAACACTCCCGACCTCAGCTGCAGTCCAGCCGGTCCAGGCAGATGTCACAGCTACACTCCTCCTCGTCAGCCAGCAACCTGTCAGAGAGCGCTGAGAGCAAAGTGGAGCGCCTTGGCCAGGCGTTCAAACGAAATGTCCGTGAGCTACGTGAGAAAAGCTCCTGCTTGGACCTGGTCTTCCTGGTGGACGAGTCGTCAAGTGTGGGGGCC